AATATTTCCCCCCTGTTCTCTGTACTATTTTAGATTTCACCTTCAATAATCTGGGTGTTCATGTTTAGAAGAAAAAGAGAAGAAGAGATTGGATTTATACTGCAGCCTTCACTACCTGAAGGAGTCTCAGAGCGGTTTACAATCCCTTTCCCTTCCCCTTCCCACAACAGACACCCTGTGAGGTAGGTGGGGCTGAGAGAGCTCTCTCGAGAACTGCCCTTGAGAGAACAGCTGTGAAAGAACTTATAACTGACCCAAGGTTACACCAGCAGCTGCATGTGAAGGAGTGGGGAATCAAACCCGGTTCTACAGATTAGAGTCCGCACTCTTAACCACTACACTAAACTGGCTCTCCAGTTTGTCACTTATCCTGCAAGATTCTAGCCTGACCCACCAGTACTCCAAACTTCAGGCATGGGAGTGTTCCCTCTAAGCGTAGTTAGTGTGAGTTAGAGTTAGCTCACACATTTTTGTCTTAGCTCAGGAAGGATGGCTCCAGAGCAAACTGATTTATGCAGTAGCCAAATGGCTCGCTCACAACTTTAATGCCAGTAGCTCACAAAGTAGAATTTTTGCTCACAAGGCTCCACAGTTTAGCGGGAGCACTGGAGAGAACAGTACCGCTAAATGTAACATCTATTGCTCAATAAGAACACTAGTGGTGAATCCTTTTGCAAAGGAACAGTAACTTGGAGTTGTTTCACAGTGATAACCCCACAAAAGACAGATTCAGGTGGGTAGCTGTGTTGGTCTGAAGCAGCAGAGCCACTGGACTCAAACTTTGTTCTTTTACCCCACAGAATCAGCCTTTGTATGAAACACAAAATAGCAATAATCCAAGTTCAAAAGTGGAGAATCCTGTCTTGAAGGAATGAGTTACTGAAGGGGCAGAATGAAAGAGTAAATTTCACACCACACTAGAAGTCTCTAAAAAGTAATGAAAGTGATCAATTTGGTCACTCGCATTATTGCTCAGAAAGCTGTAGGAGGTGTGAAGTTTACACTTTCATTTTGCTCCTACAATAATGCATTCCTTCCAGACAGCATTCACCACTTTTGTTCTTGCAGTATTAAATTTCATTTCAATGTACGCACCGCAAGCAAGCAAGTCAAAATTAATCTCTGCTTATTTCAGTGCTCGTTTCCCATCAATACATTCTAGATTAATGACCTATATCTAATACATGTCTATTCAAAACTACCTGTATCTAAAAGACCTATATTCAAAAGGTGTACAGAAATCTGCAGGTTGGTCAACCAGCACATGAATCACTGACTAGTGAAAACTGCTAACAAATAAATGGAGTCATAAACATAAACTACCATGGTCACTACATTTAAGCATGGGGGGGAGAATACCATTTTTGCTTTGAAAATTCAAATCAGGCAGCAACAATGCCATTTTAGCAGTTACTTTCAGTCTGCAGCTCAGCATCTTAACCTCTGAGCCACCACAGATTATACTAAATACATATCCACACAATATCAAGGAACCTATTCTTATTTATTATTGCCTATCACTAGGAGTGTATTATGAAGCCAGTCAGAAAGTTGTTGTTTTTTTACTAGGTGCCTGAATATTTGCTGTCTTTTTACGGCTACAACTGGACCAGACAGCTACAAAAGTTACATTTCTTTTCTCTATACTTGAAAAGGAACAAACTTGCTGCATCTCCATTCTCAATGACTGAAGCAGCTAATAAATACCAGAGAATGTTGCTTTTCAATTCCTCTACCATCATCTTTATCTAAAAGGGCTACAGAAGGGATGTGGGAAGTGAAAGCACAACCTGGACTTCCTGAAGAAATGCAAATGTATCATCTGAGAGCAGCCATCTCAGCACTCATCTTGTGCTTCCTTCTTGAGTGGTAGGGCAGCTCCTAACGACAATTCTTTACAGAGATTCTTTAACCTGCATTCAGTTTAATCCTACATAACCTCCCTGTTTCTCCCTCTCAATTTAATTCACTCTCAATTAAAAAACGAACAAACAGCAACACTAAGGGGGGGGGGATCCCACCCGGGGATCCCACCCTGTTTCAAGCCTCCAATATCAGAAGTGGTTGTGCATTTCCACCATCACTGCAGATTCTGGTAACACCTAATCAATTTCTCTATAACTTAACTCAGAATTTGCCTAAGAACCCTACCATCCCACTCATGTCCATACTTCTGTTCATCTTATGCATATACTCCTTGATATCATACAACACAACAGCTCTTGTTCACTAGTGCGTCCTCCTTGGATAAACACATGGAGCAGAGGTCCATCAGTGGCTATCAGCCACAAGGTATAGATAGGAACTCTCAGTCTGGGGCAAGTGCTGAACAATATTTTTGGAGCTGGGGGGGGGCAACAGTGGAGGGGCTTCTAGTGTCCTGGCCCCACTGCTGGACCACCTGATGGCACCTGGTATTTTTGGCCACTGTGTGACAGAGTGTTGGACTGGATGGGCCATTGGCCTGATCCAACACTGGCTTCTCTTATGTTCTCTTATTTTTCACTGTGGAACTAAACACATATGTAACCTTGGCATTTGACACATCAGAATTACACTTCCCCTGAAAAGTGCCGCTTTCCTGCCAATTTTTCATGACCTGAAATGAAAGAATACATCAACTGGCCATGCACACACACATCAGCTATGGGGAAAAGATATGAGATCCAGTGTAGTTTTCTGGTTATAGGGTGTCAGACTAGGATCTGGGGGTCCAAATCCCCAAATCCTCTAGATGACTCCGGGTCAGTTTCTTTCTCTCAGCCTAGCCTACCACACATGGTTGTTATGAGGATAAAGTGGAAAGAGGAAGCACCATATACACCACCCTGAGGTCACCGGAGGAAGGGCAGGGTTAAAAAAAAATGTGATGCACAGACAGAAAAGAGTGAAGCCTTGGAATGCCTTTTATCACAAGTACTTCGAAACTGAATGAATGGCCTTAATCCCAAGGATATAAGGCTCAAAAAACTCCCTGGAGAGTAACCTCTCCCTGTAAGGGCTCAAACACAGTCCTTCTATAACATATACTATATTAAATTTTCTTAAAGGTACAACATTTCGGATAGACAGAAAAATGTCTCACAAGTATTATAAACACACACAACCAACAAACTATAATTTTTTGTATGTACAGTTTACATACCTGAGGGACCGCCTTTCCCCATATAGGCCCCAAAGAGCACTTCGGTCGGGGTCACAGCCCAAAAGGGGCCAGGCTAGCTACCACAAGGGCCAGGTCCTTTTCGGTGGCGGCCCCTATCTGGTGGAATGAGCTCCCAGAGGAGATCAGGGCTCTGCGGGACCTTTTACAGTTCCGCAGAGCCTGTAAGACGGAGCTCTTCCGCCAGGCTTTTGAATAGAGGCCGCCGCCGCCACTACCACCACCGCATGTATGCGGAAGCAGGACTGTCAGGGTAGGCCTATGAGAAATTGGAACAACACGGCTTAGGCCGTCCCTCTCCCTTCTGATTTCAATCTCGGACCTCTTCCTGTCATGTAATGGAGAAAGTGTAATTTTAGTCCTCCATGTATCTTGTGAGTTGTAATTTATGCTGTTTTTAATGTATTTGGTTTTATAGCACTTGTGCCTTGTAAGCCGCCCTGAGCCTGCGTGCGGGGAGGGCGGGGTAGAAATGGAATTAAATAAATAAATAAGAAAAGGGGTCAGGGAAGAGCTCTACTGTTGTCCCTTTCCTAGAAAACATACAGCACCCTTCCACTGCATATTCAGAGGGTGGCCAGGCTGCTAAAATGGGGGTTGTTCCAACAGCTTCAGTACATCACTACTGTGCCTCAACATGGGGGGGGCAGGGAGAGAGCCTCTAATTTCCAAAGTTAGGGTGTGCTCCAGCAGTTCCATCTCCCTGTATATTTAGAAAGGAATCACTACCCGTTTGCTCCGGGAGCTAGGGATTAGGTCTGTGCTCACACCTTCTTCCACAAATACACCTAAAAGATTCCAATTACACCCCCACAAATGCCAGAGACTAGGTGAAGCCCCCACCATTACAAAATACACCCTAGAAACAAAGAAAGACATCCCCTTCAAGCCTACCCTCAACAAAAGAACAGGGGAATCTGATGGAAAGTTTTCTTCCATTTCAGCTAAATTCCTACCCATCCCCAAGAACATATGTTCAGAAGCTGCCACTCCTTCCTTCTGTATGTAATCAAGATCCTACAAAAGCATGGATTAGAACCCAGTCCACATACAGGCTTTGTAGTTCACATGTACCTCACCCAAGCAATGGCACTAAGAACCAGCTAGGGTACGACCACACAGACTGCACCACAACTGGCATTTCATTCACAATTGTTCAAATGAGAGTGCATGAGGGAAACCCCGCAAAAGCTACTATCAAGGGACTGGGGAGAAGGGGAGATTGCTTCTCCCCATGGCTGAAACGAGAATCACAAGCCTTTGAATGGGGGAGGAGAGAAAAGCCAGACGCAGAAAGACAGCCCATCCGCTGGATAAGCCTGTGGGCAGAGAAAGAAGCGAGCAGATCCATTCTCTTTCTTGTCACATACACAAGCTCACACTCCCCTACTCCATGTCCACAAGAACCTCACACGCCTACACACACCCATGCAGTGGGGTTATAAATCCCATTGAGCCTACAGCATGTCCTGAAATAATTAATAAAGCATTAAACCCAATCCCCCCCCTTTAACTACAGGGTGGGGTAAAGTACAATTAATCCATGTTAAGTGACAATTTACTTCGTTTATATCCTGCCTTTCTAAGACACCCTTTAAATACTCCCCTGACTACATTAGTCGATTGAGAGGAAATTATTTTCTACCTACTGTTGTACTAGCAACAATTTTAAAAACTATTAACACCAAAAAGAAGAATCCTCATTAAACTGTTCTGCGACCCTAAATACCCCCTGCTCCAAAGGAGGACATAGGGAGCCCCCCCGGGGGGGGAATACTTCCAAGACATATCAGGCCAGAGGGGGCAGGCGACGACAGGCACCCTCCCCACCACTCACGCTCAAAGTCGGAATCGGACTCCTCGTCGACGTCTTGCCTCCGCTCGTCCTCGCCGTTGGACTCCGTCTGCATGGGCTCCCCGTCGAAGACGACCCCTTTGCCCCTGGCCACCTCCCGCAGCTCCTGGTCCCGGGCATCTCTCAAGCGACTGAAGTACTCTGCGGCGAAGTTCAGCAAATCCGGCGGCCGGTGCCGCAACACCTCCACCGTGTAGCCCTGCAGCAGCTCCGTCAGACCCGGCGGGATCTCGATGCTCATCTTGCCGCCTCGGACGCGGCACCCCTCCCCCGGCTAGGCAGGATCCGTCCACCGAGCGAGCGCGAGGACGGGCCCGGTTGCTGCTGCGGCGGGGGCCTCCCTCGGCGCCTCCCCCCTGCAAGCCCCGCTGACGCCCAGGAGAGCTGCGCGCGCTGACAGGGCTACCGCCGCTCTCTCTGACACGCGAGAAAGAGAATGGAACGGAGAGTTAGAAGAGGGGAGGGGCCGCGACGGAAGCCCAGGCTCATCTGCGCACGCCCAGCAGGAAGCGGCGGCGGCCGCCGCTCGAGGAAAGGGGCAGAAAGGGGGCGGGGTACCCGAGAGGCGTGAAGAGGGGAGTGGGCGGGACACCTGCGTCACAATGAAGAACAAGAGGCGCTCGAGCGATAGGAAGAAATTAGGCAGCGACCGGGGGTACTGCGCGTGCGCAGAAAAGGGCTTTTAAAAAACCGAGTCCCTATGAGGGCTGGGCCAACTGTCGTTTGGCGCGTGGAAAGGCGATAGTGGGGGGCGGGGAAAATGGGAGCCAGTTGATTCGTGGTTAAAACCGCTTTTAATTGCCCTTTCGAGCGCCGCTTCAGTCTGAGCTGCGGAGACCTTGGAAGTTTCCCGCCCATTTAGATTCAAGGATTGTAACAGCTTCAAGCTTTGCTTTCACCGACCGAGAAAGTAACCAAAAGCTAGTGCGACAAAGAGTCCGTTAAGAAGCGTTAATTGGAACATGTTACTTAGGTTTTCTGTGCCTGCGGTTTTAAGTGTTTCCTGAAGTAGACTGGCCCTCCCATTCCCCTGGTTTTCTTTCACAGCCCAGGAAAGTAACCTTTTAATACCAAAGGTGACGTGCTTCTTGTGGCTTTTATAGTTTCGGTGGTAAGGACGCCGGGCTGCTGTCATATTGGTTGGGTTTTATATCTGATCATGTGTAACTCCAGATAAAAGTAGACTATCTTTAGTTGACTATCTGTTGATTAAGAGGCAAAAAAGACGTTTTCTCTGGGTGCTTTGCTCGATCGTAGTTGGAAAGCAGATCCCTTTGGTTTCAATGGTGCTGACTTCTTGGTATAATGCTGGCAGACCCCTGATGGTTCACACTTCTGTGTAAGTTTTGGGCTACACACAAGCCAAGCCCTAATGTCGGTAATGGAACTAGAAATACTGATAATATCTTAGGGCTATATATGAAACCAAATGCTGTATAAAATAATTATAGGTGGATAAACAAGAAGCAAGTTGTTCTCTGGCCTGAAATGGAATCTTGCTTTGCTCCATTTCATGTATGTTTGTGTAGTTGTTACTCCATTTGTGTCCCTAAATAGCCATAAGTACCAGCATTTCGTAGATGAAATCTGTAAGGCCCCTGCTCTGTACCAGGGATCACTACTTGTTTCAGACTGCAGTATATGGGACTGGAATACATTCATTTGCTTCAGACTACCCTTTTTTACACTGATTCGCTTTTGGTTAAAGATGTGCTACAAGTAAGTGCCCTATAATTTACCAATAGGTCCTAAATGTGTACCTGAATGCTTGCAGTATATGAAATGCCATTGTGCTGGGTTGTCCCTTTGTGTTTATGCAGCTGCTCTTACATGCACGTGTAGTAGAATCAAGATGCAGGCATGCACACCCTCTAGGATTTAGCAGATAATGTCTGGCAGAGGAGGCTGGGAACCATAAAGAATGACAGTGGCAGTAATTCACACTTACATAATGGTATCCCCTAAAGGCACAAAATAAGTACAGTAATTTAGGATGGATAGGGACCACTGGAGTGTATGGTACAGGGCACACACCTTTAAGGTGCAACAAAATTTGCTATTTTGGCAGACAGCACTATATCTCAAGCTGGAGTACATGAGATAGCCAAGGAAGAGGGGATGTAAGGCATTGCTTGTGTCTGATTGTACCCTTGTAAATAGGTTCACAAATGTTACAGACCTGCACATTCTTGGCCACCTGCCCACACATACCACATTAGTCATTTGTGGTACAGTGAAAGATTCCACTCTTTTCCATTTTTAGAAAAGCTTTCTTGCCTGGAGATTATTCATGCTCATTGCAAGTAGCTATGTGCAAAGCTGTCTTATTGATAAAATGCTTTTAAACAATCATGGGTGAAGTTTCCCAAAGTGTGATGCAATCATTTGCTTCAAGCTTGGTAAGGGGAGAACAGAGTGTAGAAGCCAGTGTAAAAAAAATGGATAGGAGAAATATGATAATATCTATAGCCACTGTTTTTTATAAGCTGGGTTGACTACAAAAGACCTAGCAAATGTATGTAGTTCCATAATGTTTGAGGAACAGTGTTTTAAGAAGTTAGGTGTATGTAATGGTTTACAGGATCATTTTGGATAAAAATTCCAAACTACCGTGTTTCCCCGAAAATAAGACACTGTTATATATATTTTTTTTTCCCAAGAAGACACACTAGGGCTTTATACCACAAATGCATAGAAATCCTGCTAGGGCTTATTTTTGGGGTAGGTCTTATTTTCGGGAAAACAGGGTATATATCTTCACAAAGCTAAGGTGCAAGTATGTTACACATGAGCATGTTTTTCCACAGTCTTGTATATTAAACATCCAAATAGCCAGATTGCTTACAAATGATTTATGGGTTTCTATGTTGCTCATAAATAGGAGAGATCCTGTATCTGTAAAATCTGTAACTTGGCCTTTCATACTTTTTTCTATAATGCAAAGTCTTTATTTTTGTACACAGGAGAAGAAATTAATTTCTGACCTCTCTGAAAGGAAAAGTCTGGTAGATATACAAGCACTTGGCACTTTTCTGCCCTTAAGATTAAAAAAAATCAAGTGAAGTAGGGCTGTTGCTTTGATGATGCCACAATGTGTTCTCACTATAAATGTTTCTACATTGCTACTCTTTCATTTCAGCAATAGGAGGAGGAAGAAACCAATCCATATTTGAATTAGAAGTTCCACTCACAGATATATTTTGGGCTGAATGTTGATACTAACAGCATATTGATTTTTTCGTTGTTCCTCAAGGAATCATATACATAGCTTTCGGCCTCTTTCCTGCTACCTGTTCCACAGAAATAAATACTGCTTAATTGTTCTTATGCATAGTTTCACTGAGAATTTTATTTATTTTTCAAATTTATATGTTCCCTTGTACGTAGCTTTTGTTGAGCGTTCATTCTGGCAGCTTTAAGAGAGGCTGCTTAGAAATCCTACTAGTGTTAGTTGTAGTGCCATTACATTTATTTCCTATTTATTTATAGTATTGCTTTCACAATTGTGTGTATTGCACATTTTCTATCAGTAAATGGTGGCACATTAGCTTAGCTGCTATGATATTGTGGACTATTTCTAAATATTTTAACTAACTAGAGAGAAAGCTTAGTCATTAACGGACAATATAGCATAATAACGCCTGACAGAGATAAAAGGAGAAATATCCTTGTGCGATACATCAGCCAGTCAAGAGAGCCGAGAGATAAAGGCCAAGGGGGCAGAAAATGCTCTGAACAAACTAAACTTAATTCTGATAAGACAGAGATTCTTTGGGTTAGTAGAAAGGCAGAGCAGTGACTTGAGATCTCTCCCATATTGGATGGGGTTTTTCTCCCCTTGAAAAGCCAAGTTTGCAGCTTGGGAGTGCTGCCTTTACCTTTCTAGTCTTCAGGTTGCAGACAAACTTCATATACCCCTGAAAAATGTAGAATGGGAAGAAATAAAGAATTTTGATGTAAAAAAATAATCTTGTGCGCATCTACTATTTTATAGCCATGGTTTAATTTTACTGTGTATGTGAGGGCGTGTCTGCATGTGAAAATGTGTGTTGGCAAGCAACAGATAACAAGCCGGTAGTGGTATGCTATCAGTGAATGCCACTGGTAGTAGATCTTGCGGCATGTAGATGTATATCAGAGAATAGTATATTCTCTCAAACACAGTGGTAATATATGGCATATAGGTATAATAAATGAAGGTAGGAATCTGCTTAAACTGCTGAGGGTGAGGAGGACTCTCCAGGCCTCATATAACTTCTTTAGGTTAGGATCATAGAATTAAAAGTTAGAAGGGGCCTAAAGATCATTCAGTCCAACCCCCTGCACCATGCAGGATGACCTAGGCATCCCTGACAAATACTCATCCAACCTCCTCTTAAACACCTCCAAGGATGGAAAACCCACCAACATCCCTGGGCAGCTAATTCCGCTACTGAATTGCCCTTATTGTTAAAAAGGTTTTCTTAATATCTCACCCATAATTTTAAACCCAATATTATAAATTCTGTCCTCCACTACCAACTGAAATAGCTCTCTCTACCCATCTCTAAAAGACAGGAAGAATTATATCCCGCCCAACCTTCTCTTCTCCAGGTTGAACATTCCCAATTCCCACAGCCTTTCTTCATAAATCTTAGTCTCCAAACCCCTAATCCATCCTCATTGGTCTCCTCTGCACCTGCTCTAGAAAGTTTCAGAGGGCTACTGAGGTTCCCCATCCTGTTTCTCAAGAAAAAAAATTAACTGACATAAGGATATCAAGATTTTTTTATCCAGCCATAACACTACATTACTAAGGGTAAGGCTGACCATGGGAATTCGTCTACCACTAGGTCATAGAAGGACGCTCCAGGCCTAGAAAATAACTTCCCAGGTCTCACCAAAGTAAGAATAATCAGCACAGAATTTAGGTTACACACACACTTGTACTAAGGGCAAGCTTTTTTAATATGAGTAGTTTTGGAAGCTTATCTTAATGCAGTGCCAGTCTGAAATATTTTAAACCTGTGCAGTCACCTTATCCCATGTATCATAATAAAAAGTGCACCAGATTGCCTGACAGCTGTCTCTGTCTAGCACAGAAAACACACAACGCGTTGAAACAAAATTGGGGGGGGGGGTTTAACATTGTTGCCACATTCTAGGATTTTAAATTATGAATCTGATTTTTCCTCTTTTGGGTGTTTGGGTCCCCAAAATCTTAATATTGTTGATATGTTGTCATTTGAAAGATAATTGCTTGAAGCACCATCTTTGGAACCCAGGGAAAGAAACAGAGCATGTAGTTCTAACACATTATTTTCTCTTTCCAGATCTCTTACACAGCAGCCAGCTATTTGGCTATGTGCTGCTTTTGGCATTGATCTGTTCTTGCTCCAGTTCTGCATGTTTGTTGGCAATTTCTGCTAATTTGTATTTTGTATATAAATCTGGTTGTTTATATAGAAGAAAAAAGATGTGTTG